GAAGACAGACGCTTAATGACTGAGCCACCCAGGTGCCCCCAAAATTTGAGTTTTAGAAAGAGGCTTCTGCTGGCTTCTTGAAGGATCCTTTTAAGTGGGATAATTGTGAGATCTGACCAGTTGCAATAGTACAGACAAGAGATTTGGGGTGGTGATAATTGGAAGCTAGGAAAGAGGAGTTGCCAGATTCAAGAAGTATGCAGGAGTTAAATCAACAGGATCTGGTAACTGATTAGAAAGAATGAAGAGGGCATCAGTCCCAAGATCTAGCTTGTGTGCCTGGAGAGATGATATTACTACCAGCTGAGATAAAGAAGTTTTAAGGGGCAATGATTGAGTTTAGTTTAGGACACGTGTTGTAGATGCCTGAGGGACATCTGGTGTAGGGGGCCAGCATATGATTGGCTACCTCATTCTGAAGTTCAGTGGAGAAGGTGAGCTGGAGGCAGAGATTGGGAAATCCTCAGCAGAGAGGCAGTATCAAAACTAAGAGACGGTTGAGCTCCCCAGAGACGGAGTGCAGAAGAAAAGGGGGTGCAGGGAGAAGACCAAAAGGAACAGTCAGGGAAGTAGGAAGAACCAGGAGAGTTAGGTGTCATGGAAACCAAGGGGGGGGGGGGTTCTAGGAAGAGGAAGTGATCAAACATGGCAAAATGCAGCCAGAAAGTTCTGATTATACCAAGGCTAAACAATGGCTGTCGATTTGGGCAATGGTAGAGTCATGATCAACTTAGGCTGGAATCACACAAGTTCATTCAGACATTAGTCGCATTTATTCAAATGGTAAACACTCAGCCAGCATGCATCCTCAGCACACTCTCAGATGCTAGCCACATTCTCATGTTCCACACACGCCTTCAGAATTTAAAGCATTTATTCAAATTGTGCCCCAACAGGCACACATTTGGATGCTCCCCACACTCATCATTTGGGATCCTTTATATTTTCCAATGCCACCTCGGAGTCAGCTGGAGCCAGTGAAGCTCTGTCTTTGCAGGGGTAATGGCAGGTACCCACAAGGGTTAAACGGGTTATCTTGTGGTTTTTATCTCCCAGGGGCAAAACCACCTTTGTTTTTCTCTCATCTCCTGGTAGGGTTAATACCCCCTGGGGATTGTGAGATAATGCTGGATGTTGCTGGTTCTGGTGACATGCTCCTTTGCTCATTTCTCGCCCACGTACCCCAAAAGTGATGATTATCTGTTGTGTGCAAAAGTTGGGTTTGCTCAGTTCCCTATTTTCTAATGATCTTGAGACAGAGTTGTGTGCAATAAAGAGAGAGGATGCTCAATGGCACAAACACCCAAGCAAATGAGAGGGGCTGGGACCCAGAGCCCAGTGGGAAGGGCAAGGCCCAAGCAGGACCTCTCTCCTCTGAGACCCAAGGAAAGGATGGATAGTGTGGGTAGAGACATTATTGAAGGTGATGAGAGAGGAAGTGTTCACTTAATGGCCTCCATTTGCTCTAAACACAGGAGTTCTTAACCCGGGGTCCACAGCCCTTTCAGAGACTGTAGGGAGAATTCAAGCAGCCCATGGACTTGGATGGGGGGAAATTGCATCTTTATTTTCACTATCATCAACACAAGGTGTAGTATGTCCTTCTAGAGGATCTAACAAACTACAATAGTATTAGCAGTACCTGTGGCTTTGTTACCAGTGGAAATCAGATTTTCATAGCATATCAGAGTTGTTACAGATCTCTTGAAATAACATCACTATTTTGAAATCATGGTAGTCATGAGACCTGTTGATAGAGCTTGGGGTTTAATGTATAAATAAAGAAGCACATATATTACTACATTACAGATGTATTTCTTTTTATTTTGGTAATTATATTTCTTTTGTAATCCTATTTTTATATCCTATCTAATGCATGCATTATTCTGCGAAGGGATTCCTTAGACTTCACCAGACTGCCAGAGGTTTTCACAGCCTAAAATAGGCTAAGAGACACTGCTCTGAAGAGTAACAATAGCTAACATTTACATAGCTCTTGCTAAAGGCCAGGTACTGCTCTGAGTACCCTTTTTTCTTATATAGTCATTCACTCGTTTATTCCTAACAACTCTACAAGATAGGTGCTTTGATTATACCCATTTTATGAAAGAGGAGACTGAGGCACAATAGTTAAGTAACTTGCCCAAGGTCATTCAGCTAGTAAATGATGGAATTGAGATTCAAACCCAGGCCTTCTGGCTTCAGAGTCTGTGCTGAAAAGTGAAGAAGTTGAATTAGTAGGATGTCAAGGGACAAATGGTTGGAGGGTGCCAGCAAGAGTGGTTAAAGAGAGAAGGGGAATGAGAGAGGGTCTACACTGGCCAGAAGAAAAGTAGGAAGAGGCTGCTAGGTGGAAAGAAAATGGAAAGACCCATGGAATAACAGGGTTCAAGGAGATAAAAGAAGTGTGGAAGGGAGGAGAGCCAAAATGACTGGGACAACATGTTCAGAGTGAGAGATGGTGGTGTGTAGATGCCAGGGAAGTGAGGGAGTCATTCCAGGGCATGGCAAGGTTAATAATGTCGCCTAGACAGAAGTGGTTAAAATCAAGAGGAGGTGAAGGTCCCTGGAGTTAAGCAGATGAAGGAATCATGAAGCTGGGCCCCAATATTCTCCCAAGATTGTTTGATTGATTGACTGATTGATTGATCGATTTATTCACCAGTATTGAGTGTCTAGTACATGCTAGGCAGTGCTTTGGGGATTGGGTAGCCAAGTGAGACCAGTAAGACAACACCCTGCCGCTGTGGGGCTTACCTTCTAGCAGGGAGAGAACTACACAACACACACATGCACGCACACACAAATAAGACTGGGTTAGACAAGGCTCAAAAGCCTTTAGGCACAATTTCATGACACAAAAGTTCTGAAAAGCATACTTTGGAGCCCAAACCCATTAGGTGACAAAACCTGACCTGAAGTAATGTGAGGCTGTCTATAGTTTTGATTCACACTCAATGTTAATAATGTTCACACTTTTCACTCTAGAAATATTAATGTTTAATTGTAAGTGATGCTCTAGACCTTTCTCAGTAGTTACGTAGCATAGAGTATATGCAGTATATACAGTTATGTAATATAGAGTAGGTCTTCCTTTGTAAAATTGAAAAAAAAAATCTGAATTCCAAAACACACCTGGCCCCAAGATTAGAAAAAAGATTACGGGTCTGTAAGTGCTATGCAGAGAATTCAAATAGGCAATATGTTGGCTCACAAATTGGCCCCTGTACATGGAGAGCATGGAGAGACCAAAGATAGAGGCAGACTGCCCCAGATTGGTAGGTGGCAGATTTAACAAGCAAGGGAATTTACATACAAGGCTTGTCTTGGACAGCTGAAAGATGAGTAGATCTCTGCACCCACCAACTGGAATCTTAAAAATTTATATAGAGGTTTTAGCCGGGTTCAGTCATGTGTTCAGTCCAGATGGTCTCAACAACATTTTACTCTCTCAAGGCTGTGTCCCTGAAATGGCTCTGGCTGTGGGAACATTGGGCAGAGCATACATTCCAAAGACAGGGGAAGGGGTGCAGAGATACCCGTTGCCGGCTCCAGCTCTCAGGTCAACCAGTGGTCACCTCCTCGATAAATTCCTCCAACACAATGGGATAAGAACTAGGTGTCTACAGCTTGAGTGGTCAGGGAGAGGGAGGTGACATTTAAGCTTAGTTCTAAATGATCAAAAAACAAAAAAAAGGCAGTCATGTGAACATCGGGGAGAGAGAATTCCAAGCAGAAGGAACAGCTAATGCAAAGATGAACACAAAGAGGCCATGTGGCTGGAGCATATTGGGCCCAGCCAAGAGTGCTATAAATTGCTGGGAGGACTGCATGTAGTCAGAAAGATTGTGAATCTTGTACTGAATCCTTTGATGAATATGGTATAGTGACCATGAGTGTGGTGGTTATCAACAACTAGGAGGCCCGGAGGGAAGTCTTTCTGGGTGGGAAAGCATGTGGGGAGATACTTCAGATAGAGGAAACATAAAGCTGAATGGGGCTGAAAATGTAGACTAAGATTTATGGCTCGAAGACCTTGGTTTGGGGAAGAAGTCAGGGAGGAAGTCAGATTAGGTAGATTAGGTGGGCTCAAGATTCTAATCGGGATGCTGGCTGAAAGATGTTCTAGGGTGACCAAAGACCCGGGTCTAAAATGACGGTGTCTGGTTGAGGTCCCCTCGGCAATGTGTGATTTGGGCTTTGGGATTTAAAAGAGGTTTGACACAGATAGAGGACAGGAGAAAAGACTGAGCTGATGAAAGATGTTTTTGCTTCTCTGGGCTTGTGCTTCTTAAGAATGTCTGTCTCAGAATGTCTGTCTCCTAGCTTCTCTGTCTCTTAGTGGCTCTCCACATCCATGTCTCTGTGATCCTGTGTGGCATCTCTGTTCCTCTCAATGTCTTTCCTAACATATTTGTCTTTGATGGCTCTCAGAATCTCCATCTTTGGATATCTATGTCTATGTCTCAGAATCTTGTTCTCTGTCCCTTCCTTTGTCTGTGTCTGTACTATAATTATCTTTTCCCCCAACTGAACTGTGTCCTTCTGGAAGGCATGAACCTTTTCGTATTCCTCTTGGTATCCCCAGTGACCCGCACACAGCCTGGAATATAGGGGTCTCTCCCATGTTTACGCTTGAATGAAGGCTTTTTCTGAGGAGTAAGGAAAACTCTCAATCTCCTGTCCGCCTACTCCCCGCGGAGCTGGCCGCCTGCCCAGAGATCAGCTAGAGAGTCCGGCAGAGAGCGTGGCTGGTATCGCGCCGCCGCAATCGGGCTCTCTCTCCGGGTGAAGTAACTCCGGAGGCACCTTGCGGAGGCCTCGCCCTCTCTGTCCGGGACGCGCGCAGCCGACGCCACGCCCCGAAATCGTGCTCAGCGGCCCCCCCATCCCCCGCCCCTCCACGCCTCCGCCTCGGCCAATCAGCGCCCTCCCGCCCGTCCGGCCCGCGGAGAGTTCCTAGCAAGATGGCTGCGGCGTGCCGGGCAGTGAAGGTAGGGGGTGGCTCGCTCCTCCCGGCTGCTCCGCCGCGCCAACCGGGACCGCGCGGCCGTGGACCCAGGGGGAAAGAGATCGGTGCTGGGAGAAAGAGTCACACTTGTCTAGCCCCGGTAGTGCGGCGGTTGGGCTCGGGAGGTGAAGGTCAACTCTCCGCGGCTTATTGTGTGGGGGGTGACTGGATGGGCTGTCGGGGCATGAGACGCCGGAGGTTCGGTCCTGAAGGAGAGGAAACACACCTGGGTCACACCGCCGTCGCAGAAGCCTGGAGAACACAGGAGCCTCCGTCGCAGAAGCCTGGAGAACAGGCAGGTGAAAGGGTGGGGGTGGTGTGCGCAGTCTACCGTTGACCGTTCCTTTCTTCACAGGGCCTGGTTGCTCTAATAACCGGAGGAGCCTCTGGTCTAGGTCTGGCCACAGCAGAGCGACTGGTGGGGCAAGGGGCCACTGCTGTGCTTCTGGACCTGCCCGACTCTGATGGGGAGGTCCAAGCCAAGAAGTTAGGGAAGAGCTGCGCCTTTGCCCCAGCTGATGTAAGTGTGGGCACGAGGTCTCCGAAACCCCCCTGGGAGCCTGTGGGGTCCCCTTCCCTAAGGGTGCTATCTGTGTGGACAGTGGACCCATCTCCTTGTCCCTTTTGGCCTGAGCCCTCCGTCCAGCACTGTGGGAGCACCTGCAATAAGGAATGTACAAAGCCTGGATCCCCAGCAGTGGGGATGGGAATTGGATATATCACAATCTCCTGGAGGGGGTATGTATAGTTTGAAAATGCGTATTGTGCCCTGTAATGTTATATTTACAAAGTTGAAAAACTTCATGAAACAAACTACAGAAAGTAAAGCTTGATGAAATCATCTTAGCAGGTAGAGGTACAAAAAAGCTAGTTTATCATCATATCAGCAGTTCTCAAAACTGCTCTGGTCCACAGATCTCCAGGGGTATGTGAATTTATCAAAAGAGGGTATAGATTTGAAAACAGTTTTGAACACTACAGCACCTAACATTTTCACTTATGCCCCACTCTCGTGTTTTCTTTTGGCCTCCTCCTTGCTTACGCAGTTCTGTTGTTACTCAAAGACTGGACCTGCGCTCCTTGCCCAGGTTTAGTGGTGTGTGTGTGTGCTGGGAGATGAATACTTTCTCCACCTCTCCCTTTGAAGGTGACCTCAGAGAAGGATGTGCAAGCAGCCCTGACTCTAGCAAAAGAAAAATTTGGCCGTGTGGATGTGGCAGTCAACTGTGCAGGCATTGCAGTGGCCATAAAGACATACAACTTAAAGAAGAATCAGGCCCATTCCTTGGAGGACTTCCAGCGAGTTCTCAATGTAAGGCCTTGGAGGATCCCCAGGGGTGTGAGTAAAAGGTATTTGGCTGTGGGTGCCTCCAAAGCTTTTAGGGGACAAAAGGCCCTATACCATGTCTCTGCTGGTCTTTCAGGTGAATCTCCTCGGCACCTTCAACGTGATCCGCCTGGTGGCCGGTGAGATGGGCCAGAATGAGCCAGACCAGGGAGGCCAGCGTGGGGTCATCATCAACACTGCCAGCGTGGCTGCCTTTGAGGGCCAGGTGTGTGGGCGAGGGCAAGGCTTGTGCCTCCTTGGTGACTTGTTAGGGTCCTTCCACGTGTGACCTCTGCTCCTTCTCCAGGTTGGACAAGCTGCATACTCTGCTTCCAAGGGGGGCATAGTGGGCATGACCCTGCCCATTGCTCGGGATCTGGCTCCCATGGGCATCCGAGTGATGACCATTGCTCCAGGTAGAGATAGTCCCTCCCTGCCACACCTGGGATTGGGTAGGATTCATGGGCATTTGAGAGGGGAAACTATCTACCAGCTAAGCAGCAATAGCCTTCCATTTCTGGGCATTGGGAAGTACCATAGGTAGAGCTAAGGTGGGGAGGGACCAGGTAAATATGAAAGGAAGGGTGGGCCTCTGATTCTGACTGTCTTGTCTAGGCCTATTTGGCACCCCGCTGCTCACCAGCCTCCCAGAAAAAGTGCGCAACTTCTTAGCCAGCCAGGTGCCCTTCCCCAGCCGACTGGGTGATCCCGCTGAGTATGCTCATCTGGTACAAGCCATCATCGAGAACCCATTCATCAATGGAGAGGTCATCCGGCTGGATGGGGCCATCCGCATGCAGCCTTGAAGGGAGAGGGCAGAGAAAACACATGCTCTTCTCTCCCTGCTTCCCTTGGAGTACTTTACTGCAGCCTGGGAGGAAGTCCCACAGCCATCTTGTAACTCTGCCCAGTAGTCACACTCTGTGCCTAATAAAGTCTCTGTTTCTCACACGGAGTGCGTAACGCTGTGTGCTGGGGAAACTGGCATGGGGAAGAAAGGTGAATGGGTGAAGACTGACAGGGTCAGATGCTCTAAGCCCAGGGGTGGGGTGGGAAAGGCAGTACCTCATACCTTTTGTGTCCCATGACAGCACACAGCCTTGATTTTACTGGTACCTTTATTACCTAGGGTCAAAGGTAGGGATAGTGGGGGAAGGAGTTGGGGGAGGGGGCCTGAAGCATTCTCCTCTCTAACTCCCAGGCTTCATGAGCTCGCTGAGGGAGAAGAGAGAGATGAGCATCTTGAGCTTAGCGGCTGCTGGTGTTGAACTGTAAGTAGTATTGGGCCGTAGGTTGATTGGTGTAGATTATAGAATTCAGGTAATTCTGCCTGTGAAAGAAGTACAGAGGCATCAGCTGATGAGCTTTCCCTCTCTCCTTGGCCCTTCCCATCCCTCCCTTGGCATTCATCCACGTTGCCACCCCCTAGAACTCACTGGGCTTTTTGCTCCTTATCCAGCTGCTGATTGAAGGAGCCCAGCCCCCTTTGAAATTCAGCACAAAGTTCCCTCTCCTGCTCTTCTAGCTCCATTGTTGCTTGGGCCAAGCAAAAGTTCTGGCTTTCCCATTTGGCATCCTGTGCTTGGTCAGCCTGGCGCTGTGCCTCCTTTTCATGGTATTGCACCTCCTGGACTTTCCTGATGGCAGCTCTCTGCTCTGGAGTCATGCCCTTCCAACAATAGGGCAGGACCCGGTGGGGAGCCACAGGGTGCTGGGCAACCTGGGGGTTCTCCGTCAGTAGGTCACTCGTGATCTGGTTCTGGATCTCCATGAAGTTGGCCTCCTGTTCATGCTGCCACTCACGGCGCTGTCGCTCAGCCAGTTCAGCTGCCTGATGGGGCCCCCGAATATGAGCATTTGGGTACCCAACTTCAGGGAGCTCTCAGTCACAGGGGAGGGGAAGACATGGCCCTACTCTCCTCCATTTCTGGGAGAGAAGGACCAGCTCTTGCCTGGCCTTTGAATGACCTAACATAGGGGGAGGGGTGGAATGGACAGGGACCTTCCCGGCCCTCTGGAAACCCTTAGACTGAGAGGCTGGGGAAGGGAGGGTGGTGTTCTGCTCTCAGGTCATCCTCAGTCTGGATATGGGGAAGAGCATCTTCTGCCCTAAGAGGGGCCTTAGGTGAAAGGGGATGTCCTCAGGTAGATGAGAGGGCTGGTGTTGCTTCAGGAAAGGTTGTGTGGGCGAAGACATGGCTAAGTTCCCCAGGACTTTGCTCAAGGGGTTGGGGAGAGCCCGGTGCACTGAATGGCCCAGGCCATACCTGAGCTTTGTTGGCATTGGCCGTGGCAGACATCATGCCCACGCGACAGGACTCCTCTAGCTTGGCCATTTGGGTGGCCCGCATGTCCATGGCTAGGCGCAGCTGGTCATTGAGCATATCTGCACAGAGAAATATGGCCAGGGCACTATACTGGCCTGCCCCGTTCCTGGTTCACTCATTCAGCCATTTGTTCAACAAGCTTGGTGGGTGTGTGGATGTGTATGCTTGGGAGGGGAATGTCCTAACTGTAGGGATGTGGAAGGAGTTACTCTTTGAGGCTTAGGGATAGCCAAAGTAGCAGCAACAAGGATTTCTCAAGTGCCTAAGTGAAAGCTGCAGGGAGATGGATCAAACATAGATCATACCACCATGGTAAGGGCAATGACAGAGGTGTATACAGGGCATTATAAGAGCTTTGGGTGGTGGGTGAGAGGAAGGCTTCCAGGAGGAGGTGATCCTCGAAATGCGAATTGCATATAGAAAGAAAGAGCAAAGGGCATGCCAAGCCATGTTTTAGTCTAGCCACACTGGTCTTGCTGTTTCTAGATCATGCCAGATACTCCTGCCTCAGGGATTTGTAATAGACGTTATTCTTGGCTTCTGCTCTCTTGCTTCTCCCAGGTCTTGCTCAAATATTGCCACCTCGGTGAGGCATTCCCTGTCTCTCCTACCTCAAATTGCAACCTCCTGTCCCCAACATTTATCCCCCTTCCCTGATTTATTTTTCTCCCTACCATTTGTCACCATACTCTACATTTCACTGATGTTGTCTATTGCCTGTCTCTCTCCTCACTAGGAAGTAGCCTTGTTGAGGGCAGGGATTTTTTTTTTTTAAGATTTTATTTATTCATTTGAGACACAGAGATACAGAGAGAGAAACAGCATGAGCAGGGGGAGAGGCAGAGGCAGAGGGAGAAGCAGGCTCCCCGCTGAGCTAGGAGCCAGATGTGGGGCTTGATCCCAGGACCCTGAGATCATGACCTGAGCGGAAGGCAGACACTTAACCATCTGAGCCACCCAGGCACCCCGAGGGCAGGGATTTTGTCTGTTTTATTCACTCCCATGCCCAGAACCTAGATCCGAGCCTGGCACATAGTAGGGGCTCAATAAATATTTGTCAAATGAATAAAGGAAACCAAGAAACAGTATGGCCTGTATCTGAAACTACAAATAGTATGCTCTTGCTGGAGCATAAAATGCAAGGGACTAGGGAGCTTTGCAGGGGCCAGACTAAAGGCCAGAAACTTGCCTCGAAGGTGGTGGGGAACACGGAAGGATCTTAAGCAAGGGGGCGACACAATCAGATTTGTATTTTAGAAAGCTCCTCCTGGGGGCCAGTATAGAATACAGTCAGACTGGTGGGAGACAGTGGAGGTAGGGGAGCCATCTTGGAGGGCTCAAAGCAGACCCAATATATAGAAGGGTTACATCAGCTGTACGTGATGAGAGTAAAGGAGGGGGGCAGATTTAGATGTTTCCCAGGGTCCTGGCTTGGATGACTGGGTGCATGGTGTGGCCACCACTGGAAGTAGAAGATACAGAATGAAGAGCAGGCTAGGGAACATGGATGAATTGTTTAGGAAGGCTGAGTTGAAGGTGGTCAGTAGGCATCTGGATATCTGATTCTGCGGGTAGAGAGTCCTCAGCACAGAGATGGTGACATGGCAGCTGAAACCAGAACGAGGGCCGAGGGCACCTGAGGTAAGTATGCAGGGGAAGGAAAGCACTGTGCCAGGGACCAAATCTCAAGAAAGAAAGGTGTAATGGAAAAGGAGCCCACAAAGGGCAGACACAGAGGGAATGGTCAGAGAGCTAAGAGCAGAATGTACTTAGTACATAAGCCAAGGAAGAGAGAAGCTCAAGAAGGATGTGATCAGAGTCAAGTGGAGCAAGAAAGGTCCAGTCAAGGAGGAAAGACTAGATAGAGCCTCTTGTACTTGATAACACAAAGGCATTGTGGTTTTAGTAAGAGTAGTGTCAGTGAAGTTGGGTGGGGAGAGAGGAGATCTCCCAGGGGGTTGAGGTGTGACTGGAAAGGAAGAAAAGACAGCAAGCGGAAGCAGATTTTTCAAGTATGGCTGTAAAGGAAGACAGCTAGCTCACAGCACCTAGAGGAATCACAGGGCGCAGGGAGGCTTTAGTTTTTTTTAAGAGGGGTTAGACTGGGGCGCCTGGGTGGCTCAGTCGTTAAGCGTCTGCCTTCGGCTCAGGTCATGATCTCAGGGTCCTGGGATCGAGCCCCTCATTGGGCTCCCCGCTCAGTGGTGAGCCTGCTTCTCCCTCTGCCGCTCCCCCTGCTTGTGTTCCCTCTCTCGCTGTGTCTCTCTCTATCAAATAAATAAAACCTTTAAAAAGAAAAAAAAAAAAAAGAGGGGTTAGACATAAGCATGTTTACAGCAGGCACAGAAGGAATCAGTGGAAGGAGAAATGTTGAAAACACAGGGCAGGGGATACCTGAGAGAGCACAGCCTGGGGGCGGATGGAGGGAGCGGCAGGGGTAATGGGGGTCCCCTAAACACAGGCTTAAGGCTTGGCTTTGAGGAGGTACAAGGACACGGACCTCAGAGGCTGGAGGGTGGCAGGGGCTAGGGAGGATGGATAGGGGTGCGTGGTTTCATTTCATTCGGCATGGCAACCCGGAGAGGAAAGGAGCAGCACCATTTTTCAGGTGGGGACACTAAGAGGTCTGGAGGTGAAGTAAAAATGCCCAAGGTTAATAGTCAGCAAGTAGTTGGTTGGGAATTGAAGCCAGGTCCCTTGAGGGATCAGCCCATGCTCTTTTCATTACACTGCGTGCACGCTCCCTTGGTATTCTGCTGTCCCTGTAGCCTGGCTCTGCCTTCTCGTACACCCGCCTGCTGCCGGCCCCATGGTGCCTCTGTAACCGCTCCGACAAGAATCACCAGAGACTCCGAATTTCAAAATCCAATAGACAGATTTCTGTTCCTACCTAAATTTCGCCAGAGCATTTGCCATGATTGATGGCTCCCTCTCTGAAACACCTCCCTTGACCTCTGGCCCTGCTTTCTCATGGTGACCAAGAGAAGGCAAGTCTGGTGGCGTGGCCGAGTGTGGGCTGTGGAGCCAGCTTGCCCGAGTCCACTTCCCACCTCCATCCCCCACTAGCTGCCTGCCTGGGCAAATTATTTCACCTCTCTGTTCTTCAGTTTCCTCCACTGAAAATGGGGATAATACCAGTGCTTGCCTCATGGAGTGGCTGGGAGGATGGCATGAGTCACGATGTGGTAGCAAGCTTAGCACAGTGTCTGATACACAGCAAGTGCCCAAGAAAGGTTAGCTATTATTATTTTATGCATCTTTTATCCTACCTCCCTGATCCCTTTATTGTGAGCTCCTTTTCCTCTACTCATTCATTCACTCAAGATACATTTACTGAGCATCTACCACGTTATCAGGCAGTGTGTAAGTCACCTGAGTTGTAATAGTAAGCTCCGACCTTTGTCCTCACAGAGTGTACTATTTGCTCACCCTTTCCCCAGGCTCCATCCAGGTTTAGCATTCTGTTCCTTTGCAAACCCTTCCCCTGCTTCCGGCCTCCAGATCTCTCCCTGCAGCCCAGACCAGCTCTATGCCACCGTAGGATCATATAGATAGATGGCTGCCTGTTGGCTGCCTCCTCGTGGCTGCAGTAGTCTTCTATCTTATCTCCTTGCCTCTAGTCTT